CTACCAGTAATGGCAATACAATAGGTAATAACCTCTGTCGACTACCAGTAATGGCAATACGATAGGTAATAACCTCTGTCGACTACCAGTAATGGCAATACGATAGGTAATAACCTCTGTCGACTACCAGTAATGGCAATACGATAGGTAATAACCTCTGTCGACTACCAGTAATGGCAATACGATAGGTAATAACCTCTGTCGACTACCAGTAATGGCAATACGATAGGTAATAACCTCTGTCGACTACCAGTAATGGCAATACGATAGGTAATAACCTCTGTCGACTACCAGTAATGGCGATACGATAGGTAATAACCTCTGTCGACTACCAGTAATGGCGATACGATAGGTAATAACCTCTGTCGACTATCAGGAACCGCAATACGTAAGTAATAACATTTGTCGACTACCCGTAACGGCAGTTTTATAGGTTAAAACCTCTGTCGACTTTCAGTAATGGCAATACGATTAGTAATAATCTTTCTCGACTACCATTAACGGCAATGTGATAGGTAATAACCTCTGTCGGCCACCAGTAACGACAGTACGATAGGGAATAACCTCTGTCGGCCACCAGTCACGGCAATGTGATAGGTAATAACCTCTGTCGGCCACCAGTAACGACAATGTGATAGGTAATAACCTCTGTCGACTATCAGTAACCGCAATACGATGAGTAATAACATCTGTCGACTACCAGTAGCGGCAACGTTATAGGTAACAACCTAATTAGTCTACCAGTGATGACAATGTGATAGGTAATCATTCTGTCGACTACCAATAACGGCAATGTGATAGGTAATAACCTCTGTCGACTACCAGTAATGGCAATGGGATAGGTAATAACCTCTGTCGACTATCAGTAACCGCAATACGATAGGTAATAACATCTGATGACTATCAGTAACGGCATTTCGAAAGGTAATAATATTTGTCGACTACCCGTAATGGCAGTTTTATCAGTAATAACCTCTGTCGACTATCAGTAACGGCAATACGATAGGTAATAACCTTTCTCGACTTCAAGTAACGGCAATGTAATAGGTAATAACATCTGTCGACTACCAGTAACAACAATACGATAGGTAATAACATCTGTCGACTATCAGTCACGGCATTACGATAGGTAATAACATCTGTCGACTATCAGTCACGGCATTACGATAGGTAATAACATCTGTCGACTATCAGCAAGAGCAATATGACAGGTAATAACCTCTGTCGACTACTAGTTACGGCAGTACAAGAGGTTATAACCTCTGTGGACTATCAGTAATGGCATTACGATAGGTAATAACATTCGTCGACCTTTGGTAACGGCAATGTGATAGGTGATAACCTCTGTCGACTACCAGTAACGACAATACGATAGGTAATAACATCATGATAACTATCAGTAACGGCATTACGATAGGTAATAATCTTTCTCGACATCCAGTAATGCCAATGTGATAGGTAATAACATCTGTCGACTACCAGTAACAACATTACGATAGGTAATAACATCTGTCGATTATCAGTAACGTCATTACGATAGGTAATAACATCTGTCGACTATCAGCAAGAGCAATATGACAGGTAATAACCTCTGTCGACTACTAGTTACGGCAGTACAAGAGGTGATAACCTCTGTGGACTATCAGTAATGGCATTACGATAGGTAATAACATTCGTCGACCTTTGGTAACGGCAATGTGATAGGTGATAACCTCTGTCGACTACCAGTAACGACAATACGATAGGTAATAACATCATGATAACTATCAGTAACGGCATTACGATAGGTAATAATCTTTCTCGACATCCAGTAATGCCAATGTGATAGGTAATAACATCTGTCGACTACCAGTAACAACATTACGATAGGTAATAACATCTGTCGATTATCAGTAACGTCATTACGATAGGTAATAACATCTGTCGACTATCAGCAAGAGCAATATGACAGGTAATAACCTCTGTCGACTACTAGTTACGGCAGTACAAGAGGTTATAACCTCTGTGGACTATCAGTAATGGCATTACGATAGGTAATAACATTCGTCGACCTTTGGTAACGGCAATGTGATAGGTGATAACCTCTGTCGACTACCAATAACGGCAATGTGATAGGTGATAACATCATGATAACTATCAGTAACGTCATTACGATAGGTAATAACATTTGTCGACTACCAATAACGGCAATTTGATAGGTAATAACCTCCGTCGACTACCAGTAACAGCAATGTGATAGGTAATAACCTCTGTCGACTACCAGTAACGGCATTACGATAGGTAATAACAATTTCCGACCTCTGGTAACGGCAATGTAATAGGTTATAACCTCTATTGACAACCAGTATCGGCAATACGATAGGTAATAACCTCTGCTGACTATCAGTAACCGCATTTTGATAATAATATATTAATAATATTTGTCGACCTCCGGTAACGGCATTACCATAGGTAATAACAGTTGTCGACTACCAGTAACCTCAATGTGACAGGTTATAACTTCTGGCGACAACAAGTCATAGCAATGTGATGGGTGAGTGAGTGAGTGAGTTTAACGGGTTTAACGCCGCTTTTAACAGTGATCCAGTTATATCACGTCGTGTCAACTTAATGTGGGAGGAAAGCCCGAAGTCATGCAGGTCTCAGACGTTTACCATTCGTTAAAATCAACGAGCACGGATATTGTGCTGACAAACCTAGAAACATAATCGGGGCGGACCGGGATTCGAACCCACAATCATTCTGGCGTGCCCAAGGGACGCAACTCTGCACAGTGAATCGCGGCACCTTAGACGACTGGGCCACCCGTGCCACCAAATATGATAGGTAATAATCTTCGTCGACTACCAGTAACGGCAATGTGATATGTAATAACATCTGTCCACTGCCAGTAACGTCAATGTGTGTGTAACAACTTCTCTCGACGACCAGTTATGGCAGTGTGATAGGTAATCACCCCTGTCGACTACCAGTAACGGCAATGTGATAGGTAATAACACCTGCTGACAAAAAGTAACGTCACTGTGACACGTTACCACCTCTTTCGTGCACAGATATTTACCACTGTCACGGACGAGTAACGGAACAGAACTGTTGATATTGACGTGACCCACTAGCGGTACTGACAGAGGAAGTGAGAACTTGACCGTAAGTAATAGCATCAATGCCAGAGATAATTCGTACCGAATATCTGCCGAAACAGATTTCACATGGCGTAAAACGTCTAAATAAATGATGAAAATATTCCAAGACATGAACGGAAAATTCACGAATTTGAAATATTGAAACCATTCTTCCTATAGCCAGGTACAGAGGCTGCTGCCTTATTGAGTTTCTATACTCAGATGCAGATGGAACACTGAATATGATTCTTCATTCTAATTTTTAATTTTTTTATTTACAACTCTGGTGTCTAGATGTGAACATACTTTTTGATCTTGGAAATCCTGAAGAATATGAGGTCGTCTTCATATATCTGAAGCTGGGGTTGAACTGTTGGGCAACTTACTCTTTCCTTGATCTAACTTAAGTAGCAAAATATCATATTCGTATGCAAAGAGAAAGGGTACAGCTTGGACCTTGAACATTTAGTACCTGTGTGGCTAGCTAGTATTTATCTTAATGTTGCATCCAAAGATGTTGGCAATCAGGAAATCCAGGAACTACATATACTGAACCGCAAACGAAACGTCACCATGGATAGATATATGAGAAACCTTATTTGTCCAAACACTGTAAACATACTTTGAGACATGATGTAAAAGATGTAACTTGGCAAAACTGATCATCAAGGTTGCAATTAAAATGTCAAATGTTCTTAAAGTGAAACACAACACTAGTCTCTGAGAAAATGGTATCACATGTCAGTATCTCGTGTGTCCGCTATTTGTATTGATGACTGCCGTGCAACGTCGATACATGGAATGGATCAGCTGCAGTTGTCGGCCTTGGTTGGACGTCATTAAGCCGTCTTTGAATCTCGTCCCACAGGTGCTCAATGGGATTTAAATCGGGACCGAGGGCATGCCACTGCATGTTTCTGATGCCATTCTGCTGGAGGAAGTCTCTTGTTGCTCTCGCAGTGTGGGCATGGACGTTATCATGCTGAAACTCGTGGTTGCGGCGATGTGCGAAATGAGGTATGGCGTGTGGTCTCTAGAATTAATCAATGTACCGAGCTGCTGTGACACCATTGCCTCTTCCAGGACCGATGTTCTGGAAGATCACAGGGCCGACCCTCTGTGCAAGACCAATTCCACCTCACACCATGATGCTCGGACCAGCCCACGAGTCTCTCTCAACAACACAAGCATTTGAATAACGTTCCCCACGGCGTCGCCAGACTCTCTCTCTGCCACCTGCTGTTGAGATATAGTCACGGCTCTCGTCTGAGAAGAGAACTCGTCTCCACTGATGGTGGCGCCAATGCTGGTGCTGTGTTGCCCACTGAAGACGGTCCCGGCGATGACGTGGTGTCAGAATGGGTCCTCGGTGTTTTGTCCAGCGGTTTGTCCAGCTTGCAATCGTCTGAGGGCTTGGTGTACCTGATTTCTTGTCAATTTTGACATGTGGAACCAATTCAATAACGAATGAATGTCATCCGGTCTGGGTGGATTTTTATACTGGGTGCTTTGTTTTTTATCATCAAATGTCATTTTTGCCGGACTAGGTGATGTTAAATTGACAAAAAATTACCTAGATATTTTGATGACAACTTTTCATGCAATGTTACTTGTGGTGACGTTTCTTTTGCGGTTCAGTATATTTGGGCAACTGAATCTGTCTGAGTAGAATTAGTTACAAATTTAACAAATTGTCAACTTCCTTTAAAACTTATTTTTCCGAACACGTTTATTTGAAACGAAAGCCCTTTTGGTTCATAAATGTAATTTCTTTCAATTTATCATAATTTTGTTAGCACAAGGTTGAACGTTTTCACTAATGAGATCATAAATGCTAATGAAATGTAATAGTATTAGTATGTAATGACATGTGGTTATGACAAACACATGATCACATTGGTTTTTAAAGGAATTATATTTCCTGTGCTTGATATTATGTTTAGTCAATATTTGTGACTTTTCGAAAACACTTCTATTGAAGCTGCGATTTGTTTATTTATATTGACGACCATCATGCTGAGATCGTTCATCCTGTTGGCGACAGCTGGCATGGTGCTTAGTCAAGGTAAGTGTAGACATCAAACGATATGACATAATGGCAATATATGTTGGCAAGGAACTACAAAGAACAATGAATGAGATGTGTATTGTATTATGTAGCTTCAAGAAAGTTTTCCGTTTGGTGCTTCTGCGTATCACGTTCCTGGTGCCACGCTTACTGCGTCACGATGATCCGATGCCGTCCTATTCTTGCCTCTCACCGAGGCGAAAAAAACCAGACAATCGCAAGGGACCGATGATTTGGTGGGGGTCGTTGTGTGTGGACTAGATTTTTTTTTCAGCTACAGATGCAAAACTAGATTTTTTGGAAGCCTAAATATTGAACAATTTATATCATACACAGAATCTCAGACCAGATTGTACACAAACAACACATCGACTTTATCATACACAGATAAACAGACAGACCAGATTCTACACAAACAACACATCGACCAGATTGTATACAGAACATACACACCAGATTGTACACAAACAACACACAGACCAGATTGTACACAAACAACACATCGACCAGATTGTACACAAACAACACATCGACCAGATTGTACACAGAATAACACACCGACCAGATTGTATACAGAACAACATACACACCAGATTGTACACAAACAACACATAGAGCAGATTCTACGCATAATAACACATAGACCAGATTGTACACAAATAACACATAGACCAGATTGTACACAAATAACACATAGACCAGATTGTATACAGAACAACATACACACCAGATTGTATACAAACAACACATCGACCAGATTGTACACAGAATAACACACCGACCAGATTGTATACAGAACAACATACACACCAGATTGTACACAAACAACACATAGAGCAGATTCTACGCATAATAACACATAGACCAGACTGCACACAAACAACACATAGACCAGATTGTACACAGAATAACACATAGACCAGATTGTATACAGAACAACATACACACCAGATTGTATACAAACAACACATCGACCAGATTGTACACAGAATAACACACCGACCAGATTGTATACAGAACAACATACACACCAGATTGTACACAAACAACACATCGACCAGATTGTACACAGAACAACATACAGACCAGACTGCACAAAAAACAACACATCGGCCAGATTGTACACAAACAGCACATCTACCAGACTGCACAGACACAACACATCGACCAGACTGTACACAGACAACAATTCGACCTTATCATACACGGAAATAACATACACACCAGATTGCACACAAACAACATATCGACCAGATTGTACACAAACAACACACAAAATGCACCAAAAGGGACAATTCATAGACCTGACTGTTCAGACCTAACTGCAAAGAGAAACAAACATTGACCAAACGACATATTGGAGATCAGATAAACCAGATGACATTTGATGCAGTGAGTGGGTGTTCACGTCACCTGTGCATTGTTTCAACCATTGGACACTGTGAATAATATTACGATCCCGCTTCATATAAAGCATTGACTAGTCTGGACTGCACACGCGACATCAGGTGTGTACGGATGCACCTGGGACAAGGTAAACTTGATATGGTACAGACTACGCATGTCAGGGATATTACATAGACCGTTCTATTCCATCCAAAGATCGATCGTTGAAAAAGGCTTGTAGAACACAGCATACTTCAGATATACGTGAGCTTATGCATGACTATTATTTATCCTTCTTGACTCTTATTGCAATTCAAAGGTTCATTCATGATAAGCAGGGTGATTTATTTAATGTTTTTGCGCAGCTGTTGGCAACACTAATATTCCAGCAATATCACGTCGAGGGAGACCAGATCTATCAATCGATAGACCACGACTTAAGTTCTCCATTAAATATGCCACACTACACAAGACAGAACACGGGACGCAATTGACACAGGACTGTCCACAGACAAAGTTTAACAACGGACAATCGATAGACCACGACTGTATGTTATACATCAAATATACCACACTATTGAAGACAGAACACTGAACGCAATTGAGACAGGACTGTCCAAAGACGAAGTTCACCATTGGACAATCGATAGACCATTACTGTATGTTATACATTAAATATTTCACACTATCCATGACAGAACATGCGAAGCAATTGAGACAGGGCTGTCCACAGTTGACGTTTAACATTGGACAATCGATAGACCATTACTGTATGTTACACATTAAATATGCCACACTATCCAAGACAGAACACGGGACGCTATTGACACAGGACTGTCCATAGACGAAGTGTAACATTGGACAACCAACAGACCACGACTGTATGTTTTTCATAAAAGAGCTTAAGCGGAACAAGATAACGTGGGCGAAGTTTAACAAGGGGCAGATAATCGATTTCAGACGTGATTGAAAGACTTCACATGAACGCGACATAGACAAGCTCATTGACAGTACCATTCATTTCATGTCGCGGGCAACACGGATCATCCCCTTGGGAAACTACTACGGCATGAACACACCTGTTGGTCTCGCAACTCACAGCAACAATGTCACTCTCAGCTGAATTTTTTCTCCATCCAAGACGAGTGCCTGTCATACTATCAAAGCCACGACATTCTTCTTTCTGGTCAATTGATGTCAACAAGGTAATACACGGCATCGTCACAAGATTCTTTGGCCAAATCACAATGTCACAACTGCAACTGCGACCATACACTGAAGTGACGAATGCCTAAAGTCCAGAGATACTCGACTGACAATGTATCGTCAATGTGACAGAAAAACGGACAGTTCCAGAAACAGTAAAAGACGATGATAGCATTGTTTTCATTTCGCTGTTTCACTGTGTCCGAAGAATCAGATGGCCGTTTTCTTCGAGGATTTTGCTGCCTATTTGCATCTCGAAGTCTTCATTATTATGCAGCTAATAATACATTTACTATAGAGGGGAGTGGAGTGGTGGTGAGTTTATTGTTTATAAATAAGGAAGAAGTTGAAATGTAAAACAGATACATAATTGAAAGTAATGAAAGAAGAACCGCGTGTACCTTCTGTGAGAATAAGCCATCGAACTGTAAACTCATATTTGTTTTCTGTGATCATGTAAATAATGTCTGGAATGAGATTGTTTATAAAAAAGACACATTGATATAAATGTTATCTTCACTGACTTTGCAATATTAATGGGAATTGACACTGGATACAGTTTCTTGAATAATATTATCTTATATGCAAACAGATTCAGCTATATCTAGTATCAAAAATCAATAAACTCAACTTGGATGTATTCGTAAGAATGATTGAAGATCTTGCTTAAATGGAGCAATTCATTGCCAGAAGGAACTGTTGTACTGCAAAGTGTGAAAAAAAATGACCAATGAACTATTGAATTACTTTAATTAAAAAAAGTCGCTTGGTACGTATATATACGCATATATTTATGCCACGAACAATATGTGGCCTTGTCTATATGTCAAGAATCAATATTTACTTATGTAATATGTTTCATGCATTTTGTCCGACTGAATCTCAGTCCCACACTCATCCTGACATTGTACACGATAACATATATGCTAAACATGCACAAATGAATAAGCAAAATAGAAAAAGTGGATTACGGCTTACAACTGTCAAGTATTTTCCCTTGTTTTCAATATGAGCAACAAACATTTTCGTGTGACCCTCACTTGGACGGAAGAGTTGTACAGGAGCTTTTGGTCCTTTCGATAATGCCTTTGATGACTTATGAACACATGGATAAAATTCCGATACAAGATGACATCATTCCGGCTGTCAACTCGATTCAAAAAGGTTGGTGCCTCTCGTTCTCTTGCAAGTGCAACGGAAATGTTTTCAAATTCAATACCGATTCTTGGTGTTAGAGGATCAGTGTCAAAGAAATTCGTCGATTAGGAAACAGCGACACGAAAACTCCTGGACTGAGCTGAATAGACGAAGCGCTTGGAGAGATCGTAGACACTTGGACTTCAAGAAACGGATGTTTATTATAACGCACGAACATATGAAGAGTTGGTATGGACAAAACGGCAAGTGATGCGATATAGCGCGAATTCTTTCAAAATCCACCGAACAAAAAATACATGGGACACACGTGGATCTTATGATCATTTGTGATTGACTACAAACTCAGTTTTGTTTGTGCAAAGTATGTGAAAGAAAAGGAAATCGGTAATTAGAATTACATTGGAATATGTGTATTTTATTTTTAGTTTATCAAGAGTACAATATCTAGATAGGCCTTATGTAAGTCAAAACATCTCGGTACCTTTTTGTAACATTTTTGTCTGTTGGTTATGTGCATTGTGATCTTGATACACGTGATATATCCAATATGTTGTCAAGGTCAAATATTGGCGTAACTTTTGGTGTTTCAAATTAGGCCTATTCCAAAACACTAGTTGTAAAAATGTCTGTTACTTGACGTTTTAAGAATATAATCTGTTTTTGTGTGATATATTTCATATACAACGCAAGTAACTTAAACGTAACAAATTCCAACGTCATTTTCGGCTGGAACTGAAAGAATTGTATCTCTTATACTTAAAACCGCTCGAATAAATGAAATTCCAGATTAACATTGTCAGTGTGTTATGTCACATTTTCGGTCGTGACGTTAATCACAGTAAAAGTCCGGAAAACTGGGTTTCCTGATAAAGAGGTGTTTCCGTTTTCAAATCTTGGTGATTGCTAAAGATGGCGTAATGGTTGGATGTACCATCTGTGTGGCCGTTTAGGGTCATCAAAACGTTTGCTCGGGGTGCACGGTCACACAGATTATACTTCTCTCATGACAAGCCATCAGTTTACTATATCTAACCTTATATTTACTTCTAAGTGGAGTCTGCGGGATGTGGTCTTAACGATCCTGTCATCATTTCAGAGGTTCCAACAACTCACTTCCCTGAAGGAATGGAACGAAAAAACGCAGACTATTATGATGTTCCATTGGGAGGTAAACACCGGGTGTTCAGCCAATACATAGACAATCTCACCCGAGTGTCTTTTGATATCAAATATATCAAACCTGGAAGTTATTCCACTTTTATCAACGTGTGTTGATATATTTTATATCAAAAGACCAGAGTGTGAGATTGTATTTATCATCCAACATCATTCTTCCAACTGTTTTAGTAGGCAGTTATAAGCAGTGTCTTACGTGTAAAAAGTACTGCTAACAGCTTCAGTAGCAGAGCAATTAGTGATGTCATTTGATTGTGACGTCATGGTAACCAATGACGTAACAATGGTCTGCAAAGCATTGTGATGCAATTTTATTGCAGCGTTATCTACAACGTAGATATCGCTTGATCTCACCCAAGCGATATCTCCCGTGGGAGCCAGTTTTGGATGATAAATGTATGTTGTTGCTTTTTGCTTAAAAACAAGCAACACTTAAATAAGTCATCACCACTCGCCTGCAAGAGTAACTGTTGGTTCATAATAATTAAACCATTATTACATGTAGCTGATCGGATGGTCACGCTCGATGACTTAGATGATTGCATGTCATCGTACCCCAGCGTACATCGTTGCTCATAATATCAGTCACTCGATTCTCTGGTTCAGACCCGATTAAAAAGGAGCCGTTGTCATATAATTGGAATGTTGTTGAGTATGGCGTTAAACAACAAACAGATACAAAAATGTGTTGTCATTATACCATTGTCTATGATTAAATCCGCCAAACTGACATCACATTTTCCACAAGGTTGTTTTTGTTATAGTTTCATATAACAGTATATTATTATTAAGAGAACAACCGTAATTGAACACAGTTCGAGCTCATTGACAATACGAATACATGTCTTAAGTGAAAATGTATTTTAACATCATGTTACCTCTCTTTTCTGAAGCTGATGACAACTCTTCAGAGCAGGGCAATGGCCCCAGTCAAAACAGAGCCCGCCCCGAAGCTATACAGGATATAGTGTATGTATTGCTATTGTGTAACAATGTCTTGATGTAACATTTTATCCTTGATAGCCCTCTATCCACTTCATCCAATACATGTACGCGTAAAGTATAACATCAATTTATGCTACCCTAAGCTAAACTATACTTACACAAGTAAGTTCAGCTCAACCACGTCCATAACAAATGTACATGCAAACACATCGACAATCTGTCACAGGTGTGTATACACTACGTTCATTCGTCATCCGTAAATGATTCGGCCTCTTTGTTGTTGACACTTGTTATCATTGTGTGTGTTCTGTTGTGCATATCATCCACTTTATAAACACCTACTTACATGTTTTGTTAATATGTGCTCTGTCCCATTGACCCGCCTTGTGAAAACTCACGTGTGTAGCCATTGGCTGGGACTTTATTACCGCCTTCTTAAAACTAACTAATCCATTGTTTAATACATGATCTAATTCATATATTTCAGACTCACCAACGTCTCCAAAGTTGTTTATGACATACTGAAGGATTACATTGACGGTACAGTTGAAGGTAAAGGGGCGATTATTCCGTAACGTTTTGGGACCAAAATGTCATTTGCCCCAGTGAAGTTCTGGTATAGAATTGGTCTTAATTAAGCAGCCAATGCTAATGTCACTCTGCGAAGATCCGGGTTAGAATTTTATTTCAGTAACCTGGCTTGTCTCACCTGGTGAAGATCCGGGTTAGAATAGGTCTTGAGCAACCCATGCTTGAGCAACCCTTGTTTGTTTACCCGTGAAGATCCGAGTTAGACTTGGTCTTCAACAGCTCTAGCTTGTCTCACCGTGACGTCCCGGGTTAGAATTGGTCTTCATGATCAACAACCAATGCTTGTCGTAGGCGACTGACGCGATCGGACGCATATGATCAGGCTCGCTGACTTGGTTGATGCATGTCATCTTGTTACTCAATAGCGTAGATCGATGCTCATGATATCAATAAATGGATTGTGTGGTCCAGACTAGATTACGTACAGACCGCCGTCATATAGCTGGAATAATGTTGAGTGCAGCGTTAAACAATATACACACAATGTCATACGAACAGGGTCCACAGCTTAGATCCCTCCTATTGAATCATCACAGATGGATCGACCATTTGATTGTCTGGGATCTTTTCTTAAGGAAATAATTTGTTTCACAAAATCCATGAATGAATACACACATAGAGTGAGTGAGTTTGGTTTCTGACACTCCCAAGGAACACATCTCTTCAGACCGTGATGCCGCGCCTTCGACGACCATCCGGGCCACCTATTAGCATATACGAACAACCAATACCATATATTCAACATGGATACATACATTGCCAAACACATTGTCTAACATCGAAAGGTGAATACATGGTATGGTTCAACAACAGTCCAATGTCACAGACCAATAGAAAGTATGAATGCAAAAGAATATATAATAGTTACATAGTTAAAGCAAGGCGAGGCTATTACTAAAACAGCTGGATGAGTTGGGTTTAATACGGTGGCCCATAAGGGACATGGAGTCTGGACCTTTGCAAATTAACACGATTTGTCTTACAAATATGTGATAAATCATGTGTAAAGAAGATATTGAATCGCTGAAAAGTGAAACGAAAATGTCAAAAACTCAAATGAAACTGTCAAATACAAAAACGAAAATGTCAAAAACTAAAACTAAAAAAAACTATTTCCACCGCGGTGAAAACTATTTAGTTGAAGTTTTCTGTGATTTCATTTTAGTTTTTGACATTTTCGTTTTGGTTTTTGACATTTCCATTTTAGTTTTGACATTTTCGATTCACTGATGGTGACTGATCATTACGTTGAGCCTTTGTGTACAACACTATGAAGGAACGATTTGATTTATTGTAAATCTGTTGTGCTTTATAGTGATAATATTGTAATTGGTGATTCAAATGAAAATGGCAAGTGGTTAAGGGCTTCGTTTGTCAAGCTAAAGCCCCGGTTTCGATTCCTCACATGGGAACAGAGTGTGCTGCCCGTCCTGGTGCCCCCGCCGTAATATTACTAGGATACATAAGCGGCGTAAAACAGTTCTATCTCTCACCCAAAAGTAGGTAGGCAGTATCAAGCTCTATTTTGGTTCCGGGGGCACGGGTGGCCCAGTCGTCTAAGTCGCCGCGATTCGCTGTGCAGAGTTGCGTCCCTTGGGTACGCCAGAAACCTATGATTGTGGGTTCGAATCCCGGTTCGCCCTAATTATGTTTCTAGGTTTAATTCTTTGTCAGCACCATGCCCGTGGGTTTCACCGAAGTGGTTAACGTCTGAGACTTGCATCACTTCGGGCTTTTCTCCCACATTAAGCTGACACGCAGCGATATAACTGAAATACTGTTAAAGGCGGCGTTAAACCCAACTCACTCGCTCACTCACTCATTCACTATTGTGGTTCCCTCACAGATGACAACAAAACGCAAGATTCCCCGTCTGATGACCCTACGACAAGGGCACCTAATGCCCGGCCCGACACACCAGGAGGCCCACGGGAATCTAAGCCTAATGAGAATAATGACAACATCTCTCGATCAAGTGGACAACAGACTGTTAGTGAAAGCGCCAATGACCTTTCTGGAGGAGAAGCACAAAAGACAACTACCGATGCTATAAACATAGTCGCGACTCTGTCAAACGGACAAACCCAAGAACAGACACCGAAAGTGTATGGAAGTGAAACTACAACACGATTTAACGAAAACAAACCACAACAGACGTCACAGGCTTCAGGTGAGAGCACACCTCTGTACGGAAGTGAAGTCACCACTCTGGCTGACGGAAAAGACCCACAAGAAACAACACAGTCTGCAAATGAAGTCACCACTCTGGCTGACCCAAACGACCCACAACAAACACAGTCTGCAAGTGAAGTCACCACTCTGCCGAAATTGTAAGTTCTGCATTAAAGGTAGTGTGGACATGAGCGATAAGACAATTCCATTCTCGTGAAAATGTTCTAGAGTTTTTATGTACGATTTAAACTATGTCTAAAGCATGTGTTTACAAATCACTATCAAATGGTGATTATAAAAGTTGCTCTACACCGGTAGCACCCGTCCCAAAGGCAAGTTAGTGTTCACTGGAAGAGACAAGGAAAATATGAAAAAAAGTCAAAATAAGGACTTGTTGAATATTGACTAGTTGATTCGGACATCATTGTGTCCCTTACATGTCATCCTTTTGAACGCTTTGATAATGCCTTCAATGATTCAACCATGGTCAAACGTTTGGGCAAAAGTCGTATGACGAAATATTAGTTGAAGGAGAAAGTTCGATTGTACCCAAGAAGCTGTTAAATTGCCTGAGATAAACTGTATGGTGAGTCCCTCTTCACACACTTTGGATACTTAATGGTCACTCTGAATCTTATGCATTTATCAAACTGTGATTTTTTTGTCTTTTTCGGAGGGGTAAATTCGTGAAAGGGACCTGGCTTTTTGACAATCATTGAACGATATCAGATCATTGATATATTTAAGTTTAAGTTTAACTTCTTGACCAAATTCAAGTGCTTTGATTTTGACAATGTGATCAGAAATTCCTTTTAATAAGCATAAAGAATATGATTATCAAGGACAAGAGCACGATTGATGCCCATAGGGACACCTACGTCTTACCTAAATGTGATATTTACATCTAATTTCACATACATATTAACTGGGAGGACGTCCAACATTTCACATATTGTTTTCTCAGTAAACTTAAGATGCCGTTCTCTATTATTTTACTACAAAATCTCCAGAATCTTTGAAGACAGTGACAAATGCCCCATGGAAGAAGGGATGAGGTTTTGTCGCGTGGGAAAGTGGAGTACTAAAGATATACGTTTTGACAGAATTAAAGTTAGTTCTTTTCTGAGATTGCAAAAGATCAAACAAATCCTTTGAGTTTTGAAAATCCATATGGTATTATTTCCACGTGTCAATTAATTTGTGTGAATATGAAAAAAGTCCTTCCTTGCTTATATGAGGACTAAGGTCAATCTTTGAACGAAAATGTCTTCAGGTATTTGAGTCAAGTTAAAAGTTGTTTTGTTTTGGCAGATTTCTTTCTCAGTTAACAAACTGGCCTTATATGTGGCATTATTTGATATGCCACTTATACCAAGGTCTTTGATCAAGCAGCTAATGAAGCACATGTAGGTAGATTATGACGGTACATGGAGCTAGATTTAGGCAGTAGATGTAGGTAATTCAATGTTTTACATGTAGATAGAAGGATTCGCTGCATCATTATAATTGTAATTCAGACGAGGACATGAAACGTTACTGGCTATTGGGCTATGAACTCGTATTATATACTTACAGTGTTTATCATAATAGTAGTTCGACATTCTAGAGTGAGTGAGTATGGGCCCGGTTTTACGCCGCTTTTAGCAATATTCCAGCAATATCACGGCGGGGGACACCGGAAATGGTCTTCACACATGGTACCCATGTGGGAATCGAACCCGGGTCTTCGGCGTGACGAGCGAACGCTTTAACCAATAAGCTCCCCGATCGCCCCTCGACATTCTAGAGACATAAATGGAATGGACTGAATAAAAAGTGAAATAAGAATAGCTGCTTGTCAGCTATACCTCTGCATATTTTTTAAGATGGTAAATCTTAAAAAAACTAATATTTGTTGCTTCTTGTATTTTCAGGAATAATACGGATCTTGATGGCAGAGAGAAAAATGGCAAGTAGAATTTTCTTTCAGCTTAACAGATGTCTTCATTAAAAAGAAATCATGTCAAATTAGACTATTACACATTTTGTCTCAATGTGTATCATATTTTGATGTTTGACCAGGTACTGAAAAGTGGTATAACCTGCCAGGCTCAGTCTTTCAAGTCATTAATCCCTAGCACCCGTAGATATTTTGCGTAAAAATATGTCCATAAAACTCAGTACTTGTAACAGGAGACTAAATAGATCAGGTGGTCTAGCTCAGTGCCTGGATTGTCTGGTCCAGATTCGATTATTTACAGACCGCCGCCATACAGTTGGAATATGTGCTGCGTTAAACAACAAACATACACAAAGATCAGGTTATCCTGTTTTTTGGCGTGACGATCCCAATCTTATAAGTTAATTAACGTGACGATTTACACAACATGACCATATGACTCAACTGGTCCGGAATATCGTGATACCACCTGCCAAGGTAACACTTTCCGGCCCTGGGTGACTAGATATGAACGCCAAACAGATTGCACTGGCAAAGACAAAATAGAGGTAAAAATCATATGAATAGATCACTGAAAATCATTGATGACACCATTACATTTCATGGCCGCCTTCCTATTACTGTTGCCAAAAATGTCATTATGATGCTTTAATATTGACAAGATGACGATTGGAGCCGGTAGTATATGTGGCTCGGCTGATTCTTCTTGAACTTAATATAAGCTACATTAGTTTGGAGAAGTAACAGTGAAACGGTAAAAACAAGATCCAAGTCATACTGACACGTATAGGATACGTACATGTAGATGATACGTAGATGATACGTATTGGATAGGTAGATGAAAAGAGGATATGTTGAAGTTTGCGTTACAGGACGGACGAAGGAAATGGCGCCACGATATACACTGACATGAGTGAGTGAGTCACTAACTCACTTAGTTTAATGAACAATGATAATTGTATCAGTTTACACTAGCTGCCTGTTATCTCCCAGATATACAGAACTGTGAGAGCCAACCCTGTTTCAATGGCGCCACTTGTGTGCAGAACACTGACACTTATACTTGTATCTGCAGTATTGGTTTTACCGAACAAAGGTGTACAAATTGTAGGAATTCTCTCGTCTGAACTTGTCGACGTCAATACCAACGCTATGTATAATGTCAAAGCAGATACAGATTATGACATTTATGGTGTATTGACAACCTTACACGCAGCTTCTCGTCGTGGAGATCCGGGATAGTACTGGTGTTCAGCAACCCATATCTGTCTTACGAGGTGACCAACGGGATAGGGAGGTCAGTCTCGCTGACTTGGTTGATGCATGCCATCGTATCCCAACTACGTACATCGTTGCTCATGATGTCAATCACTGGATTGCTGGTCCGGACTCGATGATTTACAAACCGCCATTATGTAGCTGGAATATTGCTGAGTGAGGCGTTAAACAAGAAACAAACAAATAAACAAAAAAATATACAGCTTCCGATATTGATCGGATCATCCATGTCAACATCATACACTGGTCAGGATATCGCCATAGCATCTACTAGGATTACACAGAGCTAGGTTTGTAACTACGTGTTTAAAAGAAGTATACTGTCTAAAGCTGAAGGCTTAAAGATATTTAAATTTTATGATAGTTTACAGCGAAGACTTACCGTGAAACTTATATCATGAAAAGAAATGTTTTTCCCTAGATATCCGTCACTGTGACAGCAAGCCCTGCCTCCACGGTGGCACTTGTGTTGATGGAAATAACACCTATACTTGTATCTGCCCTACAGGCTTCACAGGACCTACGTGTGAAGCAGGTTGGTTTCAAATCGTCCTTCCATGTCAGCCAAATGTCTTCATTCAGAGCTGTAACCCCAGGCAGAGTTTGGGTCATCGATGTTGGTCGCTAAAATACTTTTACCTCTGGGACAGTGCAAAAAATGCCAAAGTTCAATCTGTGCACAATAATCGTTATTGTTTCACATGAACCATTCTGTTGTTTTAGTGGTTCTTGCGCTATGCCATCAGTGTACAGAGATTGAGGGCGAATTCTAAACGACGCCTAAATTTGCTGATATATGTTATGTTGCATAAAATACAGCACTAATTGATCATTGTACTTTTGTCAATTTATATATGGGTATTGGTATTTTGGATTTCAGATATCTTGTTGATACCTTAAAATCTTTTGTTATTAAGTTTGTATTTTGGTAACCTCTTGTGTGATATTTCTAGCGCGTAAATATTTGTATATGGGTTTGATTTTACAAAGATGGTAAAAGACAGATGACTTCTATATGTCGCAGATATGCGTCATTGTAGGAAGAAACCATGTTTCAACGGGGCCACGTGTACAGATGGTCTTGGCGACTTCAACTGTGCCTGTAAAGAGGGCTTTTCAGGAGTGTACTGCGAATCAGGTAGGAGTAGATGTTTTCACTATAAACATGTCCATATTTCTGGAAGAAGAAGGCCTGGGTCCTCCCGATAGGTTCCGATCACATTTATGAACTCATCACCCTTTCTATTACAGAGTTTACTATGTATTGGTAAACTTGCTTCTAAAGCAGTACTTGGGGTAACTAGGCGTTACATTGTACAGGATTTAATTGCCAATGCAAGACATGCACCTTAAACATTGCTGCATTAGAGGAGGAGAGAGACCGACGGATGAAGAAAAGGTGCCACGACCCTGTGAATGAGTAAATGCGTGAGCCGTAAGTGTCTGGTTATCACTTCTGAACTTTCTGGTTTCAGAATAAAAATAAAGCTTAATATTAAACATATGCGTTTAAAGAAACTACTGTTTGTTCTCAGATAGACGTACGTGTGAGAACCAACCCTGCCTCAACGACGCCACGTGTATACAGAATAATGACATCTATACTTGTACTTGTAGAACAGGCTTTACAGGATCAACGTGTGAGACAGGTAAAAAACCTCTCGTCCTTCTGTAGTACACCTGTGTCGTTATTCAGTACAGACACTGATTATGACCTCTACGGTTTATGAGCACCCTCATACATGACTATATAGCGGAAAAAAATTAATTGACTCTCCAAAATACGTCTCCACACATTATACCATTTACCCAGATCTGTCAGGGATTGTTTTGATTTGTGAGTACAATTAGGTAGAGAGAAGTTTTTCAAGAACGTAGAGGCATTTGTTCAAGGAGGCAAAGGACGTATAGGGAGGGAAGTCGGTACAAAGAATTAAAGCTTGTGCAACAAGTATATAGAGGAAGGTGGCACAAGAAGATAAAGGAAGGCGAAACAACCAGGTAGAGGTTGTGCAAAACGAAGAGGTTGAGGAAGGTATTACAATGCGATATAGGAAGGTGGTACCAGAAGAGGTGATAGAGAGTGGTGGGAAAAGGAGGTAGAGGAGGGTGTACAAGTAGGTAGAGGAAGATGTACAAGTAGGTAGAGGAAGGTGTACACGTAGGTAGAGGAAGATGTACATGCAGATGGAGGAAAGTTACACCTATGTAGAGGAAGGTGTACACGTAGGTAGAGGAAGATGTACAAGTAGGTAGAGGAAGTATACACGTAGGTGAAGGAAGATGTACAAGTAGGTAGAGGAAGGTGTACACGTAGGTAGAGGAAGATGTACAAGTAGGTAGAGGAAGTATACACGTAGGTGAAGGAAGATGTACAAGTAGGTAGAGGAAGGTGTACAAGTAGGTAGAGGAAGATGTACAAGTAGGTAGAGGAAGTATACACGTAGTTGAAGGAAGTATACACGTAGGTGAAGGAAGATGTACAAGTAGGTAGAGGAAGATGTACAAGTAGGTTGAGGAAGGTGTACACGTAGGTAGAGGAAGTATACACGTAGGTGAAGGAAGTATACACGTAGGTGAAGGAAGTATACACGTAGGTGAAGGAAGATGTACAAGTAGGTAGAGGAAGATGTACAAGTAGGTTGAGGAAGGTGTACACGTAGGTAGAGGAAGTATACACGTAGGTGAAGGAAGTATACACGTAGGTGAAGGAAGTATACACGTAGGTGAAGGAAGATGTACAAGTAGGTAGAGGAAGGTGTACAAGTAGGTAGAGGAAGTATACACGTAGGTGAAGGAAGATGTACAAGTAGGTAGAGGAAGGTGTACAAGTAGGTAGAGGAAGATGTACAAGTAGGTGAAGGAAGTATACACGTAGGTGAAGGAAGATGTACAAGTAGGTAGAGGAAGGTGTACAAGTAGGTAGAGGAAGATGTACAAGTAGGTAGAGGAAGTATACACGTAGGTGAAGGAAGATGTACAAGTAGGTAGAGGAAGATGTACAAGTAGGTAGAGGAAGGGGTACACGTAGGTAGAGGAAGGTGTTCAGATAGGTAGAGGAAGATGTACATGCAGATGGAGGAAAGTAATACCCAGGTAGAGGAAGGTGTACACGTAGGTAGAGGAAGATGTATAAGTAGATAGAGGAAGTATACACGTAGGTGAAGGAAGATGTACAGGTAGGTAGAGGAAGGTGTACACGTAGGTAGAGGAAGGTGTACAAGTAGGTAGAGGAAGTATACACTTAGGTGAAGGAAGTATACACGTAGGTGAAGGAAGATGTACAAGTAGGTAGAGGAAGATGTACACGTAGGTAGAGGAAGGTGTACACGTAGGTCGAGGAAGTATACACGTAGGTGAAGGAAGTATACACGTAGGTGAAGGAAGATGTACAAGTAGGTAGAGGAAAGTGTACAAGTAGGTAGAGGAAGATGTACAAGTAGGTAGAGGAAGTATACACGTAGGTGAAGGAAGGTGTACACGTAGGTAGAGGAAGGTGTACACGTAGGTTTAGGAAGGTGTACACGTAGGTAGAGGAAGATGTACAAGTAGGTAGAGGAAGGTGTACACGTAGGTAGAGGAAGGCGTACAAGTAGGTCGTGGAAGGTGGGACAAAGAAGTAGCGGGAGATGGTACAAAGATTAAGAGGAAGTAGTAGAGGGAAGTAGAGGACAGTGATACAATAAGGGTGCATAGGATGTTTGAAATATTAGTCCGATCAAATCTTACCCAATGAAAATTATATTTTCTTATTTCTATTGATCATTTTCTATATTCCACATTAAATGAGACCTGCTATACAATGGAGGCCCAATAGTTGACATTCTGATTATTTGTACATCCACGAATGTTCACTCATAATGTTAACTTGATAATGTCGTTTCACATTTGTAACCCCTTTTGGCATTCTGGGAAGTCTTGTGCCAAGTAGCCCTTGCTTGTCGTACGAGACGACACCATAGATCGGGTGGTCAAACTTTGTTGGGACGTTTCTCATAAAATAAACTGTTTGGTCGAGAGTCCATTTCTTAAAGGATACTTAAATATATCTCGTATACAATCACACACTTATATTTATAAACCAGACATCAACGAGTGTGAGAGCGACCCTTGTTATCATGAAGCTACTTGTGTAGACCTTGTTGGAACGTACAACTGTGTTTGTAAACAAGGATTCATCGGGCGGATCTGTGAGAAAGGTAAGCCGTTTGAAAGCCCGTGCATGACATCATCCCAATACAGAACATTATAACTGTGTGGTAACGCTTGTTATTAGCTAATAACACGCTCCTCTGTGTTCTTGGTGTCGTTTTAAAATTGTATTTGTTAATTAGCTTTAACGTAGAACTGAACTTCAAGCCTGGCCCTAGATCCATCCCCTATACAAAGTGTTGATTGTCCTAACACTTTGTAGACCGGAGGCACAGTGCTGATTGCCTGCAGCTGCCACTTTGTAGGCTGGGCGTGACACAGATGCCTGTTTGAACACTTTCAGGACATAGAAGACTGTGATAACATGTTCTAGGTCGACATGACACAGGTTACCATGAAAACTGACTTAAACATTCGCGGCACTTAAACCTTTTAACTGAAAAAGTAAAGGAGTATATTGTCTAAAGACCAAGGCTCAAAGATATTTCAATTTTATAATAGTTTACAGTGATAACTGAATGTTGAACTTTTAATTTTAAAACAAATGCCTGTTTTTCTCTAGATATCCGCCACTGTGAGCGCAAGCCCTGCCTCCACGGTGGCACGTGTGTTGATGGAAATAAAACCTATACTTGTATCTGCCCTACAGGCTTCACAGGACCTACGTGTGAAGCAGGTTGGTTTCAAATCGTCCTTCCATGTCAGCCAAATGTCTTCATTCAGAGCTGTAACCCCAGGCAGAGTTTGGGTCATCGATGTTGGTCGCTAAAATACTTTTACCTCCGGAGAACCAATCTGTGCACGAGTCTGTATTATTTCGTGTGTCATGAGGTATTTTCCAAAATGAAACGCAAAGGTGAACTCAGATATCGGTAAATACAGATTTTTATTGTGCACAATAATCGTCAATATTTCACAGGAACCATTATGTTGAGTTAGTGGTTACTACGGTATGCCAGCAGTATACAAAGATTGAGGGCGAATATGTGGCCACAGCGCATCGACACTTTGATCAACTGTAAGGGTATAATTTGGGGCTCGAGTAATCCAAGTGGTCAACGACGTCTAAATTCGCTGATATATATTGTTGCATAAGCGAAAGCAGTTACTTATTACAGCAATTTTATCAAATCATATTTGTGTATTTGCATTTTTGATTTCAGATATGTTGTTAATACCTTTAAAACTTTTAAAAAGTTTTTATTCCGGTTACCTCTTGTGTGGTATTTCTTGCGTCTATATATACTGAACAACAAAAGTTCCTGTGACATTGAATAAGATTTAATGCAAAGTTATGTTTTTTACCAAATCTGAAACAATTTCGGTTTGCAACAGATAAAAGACTCCTCTAAGTGTTCAAATGGTTTAATTTGCCATACTGACTTCAGAAAATGCGTGATTTCATAAAAAAAACAAACACGAATATGCCAAAATGTCAATTTACAAATCAATAGCGTGTGTGTCCACCTCTGGGTGCGATGTAAGCAACACATCTTCGTCTTATGGAATGGACAAGACGTCCTGTGGGATATCTGTCCATATCTGCTGGAGCATGTTTCGAAGTTCCTGGCGTGTCTGTGGAACACGTGGTTGACGTCAAAGGCGATGATCCATCTCATCCAATCTGTGCTCTTTTGGGGTGAGATATCAGGGGAGCGAGCCGGCCAGGGGTGACATTCACCTTGTTTTGTTGAAGAGAATCCTGAAAAAGTCGAGCAATATGAGGCCGGGCTCGTCATGTTGAAAGGTAATGCCTGGGCCATGACGACGCAAAAACGGTTGAACAACAGGACCGATGATCTCGTCGCGGTAGCGCTGTCCATTGAGATTTCCCTCTAGCACTATCAAACGGGTCCTCTGTCTTGCTGTAATCCCACCCCATACCATAACGCTGCCGCCCCCGAACCGATCTTCTTCCATGACACAATGATTGGCGTAACGTTCACCTCGACGTCGATACACTCGAATCCGTCCATCGCTGTGGCTGAGGTGAAAACGAGACTCGTCAGTGACTAGAACTTGTCCCCACTGCATGGCCGTCCAGCGTAGAGGCTGTCTGCACCACTGTAGACGTGCTTGACGGTGGTTTCCTGTCAAAATTGGACGTCTGGCGGGTCTACTGGCGACAATACCTGCACATCTGATGCGACGACGTACGGTTTGTGAAGATATTCGTCGAAGGCCAGGGATGCTTCTTGCAGTCACTGTTGCTGGCTGGAATCGATTTCGTAGGTGTGTTGTTCGAATCTGGTTGTCTTGCCGATTATTGGTTACGCGTGGCCTGCCACTCCGAGGATGGTCTCTGACTGCATTCGTCTGTTGAAACGTTGCCATAAACACCAAATGGTATTTCTGTGGACGTTAAATTGTCTTGCGACATCACGTTGACTCGATCCTGCTTCAAGCATACCAATGGCTCGCAGACGCTCATTTCCGAACAGGCGTGGCATATTGAATAATTGCGTAATTTTGTTGTTTTTCTGAGTGGTTGTTATCGGCACGATGCTAAACAATGCATATGGAATCCCGTTTACGCACGTGTTTTTATATCCATTCTTGTGTAGTGAAATGCATGGGGCTTGCATAAAAGTCGACTTTTGCATGGAATGCGTGCTTTTCTGTAGCAGTTGCGTTTTTGTGACTTGATTCCATACATGTACTACACTATTGAAAACCAAACTTTACTTGTTTGAAAAATACACTGAAATATTGGTGTCACAGGAACCTTTGTTGTTGAGTATATTTTTTAAGGGTTTGACTTTACAAAAATGGTAAAAAACAGATGACTTCTATATGTCGTAGATATGCGTCATTGTAGGAAGAAACCATGTTTCAACGGGGCCACGTGTACAGATGGTCTTGGCGACTTCGCCTGTGCCTGTAAAGAGGGCTTTTCAGGAGTGTACTGCGAATCAGGTAGGAGTAGATGGTTTTACTATAAACATGTCCAGATTCCTGGAAGAAGAAGTCCTGGGTCCTCCCGATAGGTTCCGATCATATTTATGAAATCATCACCCTTTCTGTTACAGAGTTTACTGTGTATTGGTAAAGCTGCTTCCAATAAAGCAGTACTTGGGGTAATTAGGCGTTACATTGTATAGGATTTAATTGTTAAGCCAATGTGGAGGATTAATTTTTTGAGGATGGCTTGTAATCGTTTCCTGCACCCGTGTTACTTAAACGTTTAATGATTGTGGCTATTATTGGTTATCTGAGGTTAGGATACTATTTTCTACTGTTGTGCAAGTAACTGTGTAGAGTTAGCGGACCGCGTATCTACAAAATGTAACCTTGGTGAAATTTAGGATTAAAACCATGTATCATTTAGATGTAAAGGAATATTTAATGAAAAAATACACTTGCCAAATTTTTCTCATCATTATAAATGTAAACGGGATGGTGTTAATATTTGCAGACAAAGCAACTCTGTTCAATATGAACGCAGCTGCTGTTTTGTTAAATAAAACATTACTTAAATATATTTTATGACTGCTTCATCCACTATTGCAAAGTCTCCCTTTGACTCTTTCTTTTGTACCTTTTATCCCTGAAAGCAAAAGTCATTTACAAGTTCTATGCAAGTATTAATTGTACGTATGGATAAGATGCACCCTTACAGAAGAAATATGTGTGTCTGTAATGAAGAGATTACCTTAGTGATTTACTTCTACCTGACATCAAGAGAGTCACTTTGTAGCCTGCTGGAATGAGGACCTTCCACGAGTTTAGTATACGGTCCTCATCACTCTATCACTGATCAATGAAGGCATCTTAAGTATACCGGGAGGTCTGGCCTAGATTACTTCCACTACTACTACTGTTAATACTACCACTACCACTACCACTACCGCTGCCACTACTACTACCGCTGCTGCTACTACTACTGCTACTGCCACTACAACTAATACTACTGCTGCTGCTACTACTACTGCTACTACCAACATTACTATTACTACTACCACCATTACCACTACTTCTACTACTACCACTCCTACTACTTTACTTCTGCCACTACCACTAATACTGCTGCTGCTGTTGCTACTACTACTACTACTACTACTACTGCTTTACTTCTGCCACTACCACTACCACTACTACTACTACTACTACTCTTACTACTACTACTACTACTACTACTACTACTACTACTACTACTACCAACATTACCACTACTTCTACTACCACCGCTATTACTACTTTACTTCTGCCACTACTACTACTACTACTATTTCTACTACAACTTCTACTACTCTTACTACTACTACTACCACCATTACCACTACTTCTACTACCACCACTACTACTACTTTACTTCTGCCACTACTAATACTACTACTACTATTTCTACTACTACTTCTACTACTACTACTACTACTACTACTACTACTACTACTAATGAGCATATATATCTTCTGTGATTTCTTTAAGACACCACTACTGAAATAATACCCGCATTTAACATAAGCTTTCATCATTAGGTTAATAAGCTCGTTTGAGTGAGTCGTTTTATATCAGAACGCAATAAGGTTGATACTTTCAGAGCTGAATTTTCCAAGGAATGTGTTGTATACTCAAACTTAGTATATTATGAAAAGTGCAAATTAATCATATAAGGCTGAAGGAGTTTCTGTTTCCCCCTAGATATACGTACCTGTGAGGACCGACCCTGCCTTCCAGAAACCATATGTGTGGCGAGGAATGGCACATACGCTTGTATCTGCAGGACTGGCTTTACGGGACCCAGATGTAAAACTGGTGGGGAGAACTCTCGTCTCTTGTGGAATTCAATAGTAACATTGTCTTGATCAATTTTGGAAATAGAGAAATTGTTTGATAAGCATTTCTTAGAAGCTGACGTGTGACAAAAAAGACACAATTTTTGGAGAACTACTTCGTCATTATACTGAAAGAGCGCCGTGTCGGTATAGACCCTTGCTTGACAACGGTACGAGGATCTATTCCGAAACGTCGTTGCTGTTACAGTGTATTAAAGAAGCTGTTATCCATGAATTGTGTCTACTTTGTTAGAGCTAGTTTATGACGTATTTAGTGTCTGATCAACATTATATTGTTTCTTCCTTTGCTCAGATCATCGATGCATTTCCATATCATACATTGTACAGGATATCGTGATACTGTCTTAAATGGTAGCATTGTCTGACCATGGTGACAAAGGGTGACTGTGAAAGTCCTGTAGCACCGATCGTTCGCCGGACTGTCATGACAGTTCATGGCCACCTTCATTCAACTGATAACACTTGTGTTAACAATTTCCTTACTCTTTCCAATCTCACATTGGTAAGGGGGCACGGGTGGCCCAGTCGTCTGAGGCGCCGCGATTCGCTGTGCAGAGTTGGGTCCCAGAAACCTATGATTGTGGGTTCGAATCCCGGTTCGCCCCGATTATGTTTCTAGGTTTGTCAGCACCATACCCGTGCTCGTGGGTTTCACCGAAGTGGTAAACGTCTGAGACCTGCGTCACTTCGGGCTTTCCTCCCACATTAAGCTGTCACGCCGCGATATAAATGGAATACTGTTAAACCCAACTCACTCACACTCACTCACATTGGTAAGACACTTTGATGATCCATTAATATTAATATCATTGCAAACGGAGCAAGGCGATTATGTAGTTAATGTTGCTTTACCTTGAAGATAAGCTATATAATATAATAGGTGTAGATGAAATTGTAAAACCATGACAAAACACATGCAGATACTGTTTAATATTAGACAAAAGAGTTTAATATGACTGACATTGCGGCCGTCTTTAAATTCCGATTAGATTTGTGTTGAACGACTCTTGTTTAAAAGTTGTTTGATCAGGGTTACAACATTCAAGGCCTCAGGAAAGCTTTCAAAACGTTTTATGCAGACATGTGGAGAACATTTTAACAATTGACGCATCATTGACAAAAAATGATACAATTCCCTATTTTGACTAGTACCATACTTTTGTGTTATTCAGGTAAACACTTGACTTGCCTTTACTTGTGTTTGTGACGGTGGGTCAGGATATGTTCATCTTTACGCGAAAACCTGGTCTCATCACTGTTTAATAGTGTTTCAGAAATACATTTTCATGATATAGTCGGAATTATAAAGGATTTTGTCGCTTTTTATTTGCATGATAGAGGTTTATTCTGTGCTAGGTTAGAGCCAGGAGGTATTTGATTATGGCGTCACTTCCGAAATGAAGCTATGGGTCCAGGGACGTTACCATAAGAGAATAATATATTATCCTGGATAATCGGGGATGGTACCATCAATGCCTTTCAGCATCATAAGCCTTGTGGCCTCAGAGATGTCGATGTTTACAACAGACTGACGGATTACGGGGAAGTTACGACGACCTTAGTTCACATATTTCAGTGCGAATGAGTGAATGATACGAGTGGGAATGGATGAGTTGTTTATCATCTGATAACAACTTTTGAACCGACCAACAGGACCTGACATTTCAGGAAATTTCTGTTTCTTTTCATAGCTAGGTTCCTGTAAAAGGTGATATTTAAACATAAAAGTATATAAAAACGTCTGTTTTTCCAAGATATACGAACCTGTGAGAACCAACCCTGCCTCAACAACGCCACGTGTGTGCAGGAAAAAGGCAGCTATTCTTGTACCTGCAGAACAGGCTTTACGGGAGCAACATGTGAAACAGGTGGGACAAAACTCTTGTCCTTCTGTAGTAAAACTTTGTCGTTATATTATTCAGTGCAGACAATGATAATTACGTGTACGGTGTTAAAAACATGACTATATAGCTGGAAATTCTTAATAAGCTCTCCACAATATGTATCTTAGTGCACCCAATACACCACGATCCAGGAATTCTTTTCATTTGTGAGTTCAATTAGGCAGAGATAGGTGGTTGAAGTACGTAGAGGCGTTGGTACAAGAACCAACCCTGCCACAAGGGCGCCTATGGTAGGCACAAACATGACAGCTTTCTTGTATCTGCAGAACTAGCTTTACAGGAACAACATGTGAGACAGGAGCAAAATCGGTCGCCCTTCCTTGTGGCCCATAGTGTCTTTAGTCAGTGCAGATCATAGCCTAAGGTGAATACATTGTACAGCTGATCTCTAACAAGACTATATGGTTGAATTTGTCGCTTCCTGCGGTGGGCGTCTGTGGGGGGGGGGGGGGGGGGGGGGGGGGGGGGGGGGGGGAGCAGTTGATAATTACAATATTTAAGACCGTGCCTGTGGACGAATAGAAAATGCAATTTTCAATTTTCAAGTCCGTCAGTTAGAAATGGGCCCTTTAACATATTTCTGTACACGGTAGAATATGTGCGTAACACACGCCAAGTACAAACAGGAAGAAGCTGGTGGTTGGGGATGGTGGTACAAAGCAAAGACGGAACAATAGGATAAAGGAAGGATGTACAAGGTAGTAGAGGAAGGCTGCACAACGAAAGTGGTACAGGAATATTGGGAAGGTGGAAAATAGAAAGTAGGAAGGTGATACATAGAAGTAGGGGACAGTGATACATTGATGTGAAAGAAGGTGACAGAACGAAGACGTAGAAGAACGTAATACAAGTAAGTAGAAGAGAATATACAAGGAGGTAGAGGTAGGTGATACAAGGACGCGGGGGAATGTGATACAAGGAGGTAGAGGAAGGTGATACAAGAACGCAGGGAATCTGATACAAGGAGGTAGAGGTAGGTCTTATACAAGAACGCGGGGAATGTGATACAAGGAGGTAGAGGTAGGTGATACAAGAACGCGGGGAATGTGATACAAGGAGGTAGAGGTAGGTCTTATACAAGAACGCGGGGAATGTGATACAAGGAGGTAGAGGTAGGTGATACAAGAACGCGGGAATTTGATACAAGGAGATAGAGGTAGGTGATACAAGAACGCGGGAATTTGATACAAGGAGATAGAGGTAGGTGATACAAGAACGCGGGGAATGTGATACAAGGAGGTAGAGGTAGGTGATACAAGAACGCGGGAATGTGATACAAGGAGGTAGAGGTAGGTGATACAAGAACGCAGGGGAATGTGATACAAGGAGGTAGAGGAAGGTGATACAGGAACGCGGGGAATGTGATACAAGGAGGTACAGGTAGGTGATACAAGAACGCAGGGAATGTGATACAAGGAGGTAGAGGTAGGTCTTATACAAGAACGCAGGGAATGTGATACAAGGAGGTACATGTAGGTGATACAAGAACGCGGGGAATGTGATACAAGGAGGTAGAGGTAGGTGATACAAGAACGCGGGGAATGTGATACAAGGAGGTAGAGGTAGGTGATACAAGAACGTGGTGAATGTGATACAAGGAGGTAGAGGTAGGTGATACAAGAACGCGGGGAATGTGATACAAGGAGGTAGAGGTAGGTGATACAAGAACGTGGTGAATGTGATACAAGGAGGCAGAGGTAGGTGATACAAGAACGCGGGGAATGTGATACAAGGAGGTAGAGGTAGGTGATACAAGAACGCGGGGAATGTGATACAAGGAGGTAGAGGTAGGTGATACAAGAACGTGGTGAATGTGATACAAGGAGGCAGAGGTAGGTATTACAACCATGTAGAGGAAGGTGATACAACCATGTAGAGGAAGGTGATACAAGGAGGTAGAGGAAGGTAATACAACCATGTAGGGGAAGGTGATACAACCATGGGGAAGGAGGTGATACAAGCAGGTAGAGGAAGGTGATAGAACCATGTAGAGGAAGGTGATAGAACCATGTAGAGGAAGGTGATAGAACCATGTAGAGGAAGGTGATACAACTATGTAGAGGAAGGTGATAGAACCATGTAGAGGAAGGTGATAGAACCATGTAGAGGAAGGTGATAGAACCATGTAGAGGAAGGTGATACAACCATGTAGAGGAAGGTGATACAAGCAGGTAGAGGAAGGTTATACAACCATGTAGAGGAAGGTGATACAACCATGTCGAGGAAGGTGATACAACCAGGTAGAGGAAGGTGATACAACCACGTAGAGGAAGGTGATATAACCATGTAGAGGAAGGTGAAACAACCATGTAGAGGAAGGTGATACAACCATGTAGTGAAAGTGGTGCAACCATGTAGAGGAAGGTGATACAACCATGCAGATTAAGGTGATACAACCATGTAGTAGAAGGTGATACAACCTGGTAGAGGAAGGTGATAGAACCATGTTGATGAAGGTGATACAACCATGTAGAATAGAGTGATACAACCACGGGGAAGGAGGTGATACAACCATGTAGAGGAATGTGATTCAAGTAGGTAGAGGAAGGTGATACAACCATGTAGATTAAGATGATACAACCATGTAGAGGAAGGTGATACAACCAGGTAGAGGAAGGTGATACAACCATGTAGAGGAAGGTGATACAACCATGCAGATTAAGGTTATACAACCATGTAGAGTAAGGTGATACAACCATGTAGAGGAAGGTGATACACGCAGGTAGAGGAAGGTGATACAACCATGTAGAGGAACGTGATACAAGCAGGTAGAGGAAGGTGATAAAACCATGTAGATTAAGGTGATACAACCATGTAGAGGAAGGTGATACAACCATGTAGAGGAAAGTGATACAAGCATGTAGAGGAAGGTGATACAACCATGTAGAGGAAGGTGATACAAGCAGGTAGAGGAAGGTGATTAAACCATGTAGATTAAGGTGATACAACCATGTAGAGGAAGGTGATACAACCATGTAGAGGAAAGTGATACAAGCATGTAGAGGAAGGTGATACAACCATGTAGAGGAAGGTGATACAAGCAGGTAGAGGAGGGTGATACAACCAGGTAGAGTAAGGTGATACAAGCAGGTAGAGAAAGGTGATACAACCATGTAGAGGAAGGTGATACAACCATGTAGAGGAAGGTGATACAAGCAGGTAGAGAAAGGTGATACAACTATGTAGAGGAAGGTGATACAAGCAGGCAGATGAAGGTGATAGGACCATGTAGAGGAAGGTTATACAACCATGTAGAGGAAGGTGATACATCCATGTAGAGGAAGGTGATACAAGCAGGTAGAGGAAGGTGATACAACCATGTAGAAGAAGGTGATACAACCATGTAGAGGAAGGTGATACAACCATGTAGTGGAAGGTGATACAACCATGTAGAGGAAGGTGATACAAGCAGGTAGAGGAAGGTGATACAACTATGTAGAGGAAGGTGATACAAGCAGGTAGAGGAGGGTGATACAACCAGGTAGAGGAGGGTGATACAACCATGTAGAGGAGGGTGATACAACAAGGGAGAGGAAGGTTATACAACCATGTGGAGGAAGGTGATACATCCATGTAGAGGAAGGTGATACAAGCAGGTAGAGCAAGGTGATACAACAATGTAGAAGAAGGTGATACAACCATGTAGAGGAAGGTGATACAACCATGTAGAGGAAGGTGATAGAACCATGTAGAGGAAGGTGATACAAGCAGGTAGAGGAAGGGGATACAACCATGTAGAATAGAGTGATACAACCACGGGGAAGGAGGTGATACAAGAAGGTAGAGGAAGGTTATACATCCATGTAGAGGAAGGTGATACAACCATGTAGAGGAAGGTGATACAACCATGTCGAGGAAGGTGATACAACCATGTAGAGGAAGGTGATACAACCACGGGGAAGGAGGTGATACAAGCAGGTAGAGGAAGGTGATACAAGCAGGTAGAGGAAGGTGATACAACCATGTAGAGGAAGGTGATACAACCATGTAGTGGCAGGTGATACAACCATGCAGATTAAGGTTATACAACCATGTAGAGGAAGGTGATACAACCATGTAGAGGAAGGTGATACACGCAGGTAGAGGAAGGTGATACAACCATGTAGAGGAATGTGATTCAAGTAGGTAGAGGAAGGTGATACATCCATGTAGAGGAAGGTGATACAAGCAGGTAGAGGAAGGTGATACAACCATGTAGAAGAAGGTGATACAACCATGTAGAGGAAGGTGATACAACCATGTAGAGGAAGGTGATACAACCATGTAGAGGAAGGTGATACAAGGAGGTAGAGGAAGGTGATACAACCATGTAGAGGAAGGTGATACAAGCAGGTAGAGGAGGGTGATACAACCATGTAGAGGAGGGTGATACAACCATGTAGAGGAGGGTGATACAACAAGGGAGAGGAAGGTTATACAACCATGTAGAGGAAGGTGATACATCGATGTAGAGGAAGGTGATACAAGCAGGTAGAGGAAGGTGATACAACCATGTAGAAGAAGGTGATACAACCATGTAGAGGAAGGTGATACAACCATGTAGAGGAAGGTGATACAACCATGTAGAGGAAGGTGATACAAGCAGGTAGAGGAAGGGGATACAACCATGTAGATTAGAGTGATACAACCACGGGGAAGGAGGTGATACAAGCAGGTAGAGGAAGGTGATACATCCATGTAGAGGAAGGTGATACAACCATGTAGAGGAAGGTGATACAACCATGTAGAGGAAGGTGATACAAGCAGGTAGAGGAAGGTGATACAACCATGTAGAGGAAGGTGATACAACCATGTAGTGGCAGGTGATACAACCATGCAGATTAAGGTTATACAACCATGTAGAGGAAGGTGATACAACCATGTAGAGGAAGGTGATACAACCATGTAGAGGAAGGTGATACAACCATGTAGTGGCAGGTGATACAACCATGCAGATTAAGGTTATACAACCATGTAGAGGAAGG